TGATTTTACCCATGGCGTATCTCCCCTTTTTATTTTTTTTAATAGCACACAAGGTACTGAAGAACTAAACAGGTAAAGCCAGGGAGATAAAAACACAGATGTTTAAGTGGTTAGAGAGTCCGTTCATCCCCAGAAACTCTGAAATCTCTAGCAAACTTGTAGTTTTGATCAGAGCCCTCCCTCCACAAGTGTGAAGGGCTTGTGAGCCACACATGACTGACAGGAGCTGCTGTTGCAGGTCAGAAGCAGCTGGCCATCTTTGGGAGCACAGAAGCAGAGTCCTCTGATGACAGCCTTGTCGATCTGGTAAGTGCAGCACGATGGTCAATTGCAGAGCTGCCAAAACACTGCTTTTATGATGAATTGGTGTTTCAGGGAAATGCAGTCTTTGGTGGAGAAAGTCGAGTAACCTTTTATGAAATAGACTTGCTTCCGCCCAGACAGCTCCCTTTCGCAAAGCGCTAATCTTTGAACTTTTTAAAAGAAGCAAAATTGAAGTCCGGGGAAAATGATGGGCACGATAAAATGACTGGGGTATACACGTGCAATCTTCCCTCCTAAGACGGGGTGGGAAAGGCCAGGCCGTGCTACGGTGAAATCGGCGCACTCTCAGGACTAGTAAAGTGTGCCTGATGGTCTGTGAGGCACACCATCTGTTTGCCCTTCAGTGCTCAGCTTGCCAGCAGGCAACAGAACTTCCATAAAGATGAAGAGAAGCCCCCCTCACAGAATCCTGCAGCAGCCTTTTCTTCTCTAAAGGACGGCTTAAAACCGAAAATCTCCTGTTTAAAACAAGTTGTTTCTCCCCCAACTCCAGGCTGTTGGACTCGGTGCCCGGTTTATCAAGTTGGGGGGTCTTTCTCGGGGTGAACGGGTGACCAAATACAACCGCCTCCTTACTATAGAGGAAGAACTCATCCAGAGTGGAACATGGGGTATGTGCTGCTTTCTCCTTTGTTTTCCCTCAGCCGTGAATAAGGGAACAAAGATTGGAAGGGAGGGAATAGAAGCCCCTCAGCAGGAGGGCGGGACAACCCAAAGACTACAAATCAGTGCTGACTAGAGCAGGATGGCACTTGCCACAATGTCCATTGTTGGCTTAATGGATTATCTATTTACCTGAATGCTTAAGGCTCTCACCACCCTTCTCCTTGCTGAGATGGCTCCTTGGTTCTTTTCAATAGAATTAATTGATTGGAATCTCCAAGCCTGCCTTTTGTTATGGCCCAAATTATACTTAAGGTTTCTCTGCATAGCCCCTGGAAGTTACAGGCAGATGTGTTCCTTCTGGAAACAACTTGTTTCACGACCCACAAGTAGGCAGCATGTTGATTCTAACGTGGCACCACAGAGAGGATTAGGTCCCACCCCTCCCCGAAGAAAGCAACCCAGCGCTTATGAAACCCGAACTTTGTAAATGTGCATGGGGAGCTTCTTGTGTCCCCCTTGGAGAGAAGCTTACTAAATAATCAATTCTAAAGGCAGTTAAAAGCTTAGCCTGTGTTGTTTACTGGGTGATACAATGGCTCATCCTCCCCCCACCCCAGGCCAAATTATATTGTTGCAAATATCATGTCATCCTTTGTCATTCTGGTTTGTGGGGACCTCAACCAAAGCTCCTATTTCTAGAAACCAAGAAACTGCTGCTTCAGAACCCTGGGAGACCAGAGGCCTAACCCCTTCTTAGGTACTAGGCCAGTGGCCCTGGCATTCTGGAGTGGATTAGGGTGATTATTGAGAATTTCTGGAAAGCTGTTCTGAGAACTGAGAACACCCCATTGAGCAGGCAATCTTGGCAAAATGTCAGCCACTAAAGTATGGTTGTTACTACATACAGTTCTGCCTGGGATGGTCATGTCTGCCCTGGTTTCCCGCTGGGGCAGTTGGTGCTCATTTGTATCATGTGCAGGGCTGGGCTTTGCTGGTGTATATCAGAGTCCTGAATGTCACAGTAGGTGAGACAGAAGGGAGAACAAGTGACAGGCTGTTCTGAGAGTCTGGAACCTTCCTGGATGAGTCCAGTGATGCTACAAACATCGGAATCACCCCGCCAGTCAGGACTGTGAGCTTTTTCTTTGCTTCTTAAATAGGTTTCAGTGAGGAACACAATTTTTCTTCCTTTCAAGAAGACGCTGAAAAGACACTGGAGTCTACAGCCATGATGGCCGAGGAAACTCTTGGGCCACTGGAGTCCATCTTCCCCACAGAAGTGTAGGAATCAGCTAAAACATGAACCTCATGGGGCCAGCCAGATTCCCAGGGCACACCAACACCGCAAGTGTTGTCTAGCTGGTGTGACGTACGTCTGTCTCTACTCTTTAACTCCACTAACTTGTGCACTCTTTTTATTCTTTTAGTTTCACCGTTGGATAAAATACAACCCTGATGGATTTACCTGAAGTTCTGTGAGCTTTTTTTTTTTACAGCCATCACACTGCCATGGGGACACAGGCGCTACTGTCTACCTCTGAAGGTCATGACCTAACTCCATTAGAGCCTAATACACTCTGAGGCCAGGCCCATACTCAGCCATGCACCTTACCCCTCAAAAATCATAACACCTCTAGAACCAAAAGACTATTTCCCTAACAGCTCTCAGTGCCCCCATGGGCATGCATGCATTGGTTCTGTGAGGACCTTTGCTAACTTCAGGGGGTTTTCATAGCCAGCTACAGGCACGAGCACCACGGGGCGGCCTGCATCTGCAGCAACACTTTCCTCCCAGCGCTCCTACACGTGATTGCCTGTTGGCCCTCCCTTCCTCTTACGTTTTTGTCATTCTCGTTTTATTTCCTCCTTAGATCCTTCCTGGAACAAAGGTGTGCATAACTTCATAAGCACACTTGTAAATGAGTATTCTGACCGTCATTCAGTGCCCCCCATTTACACTGCAGCACGAAGGAGCAGTGGTTAAAGATGATGGCAAATCCATGGTGACAGATGCACCTCTTCTGTGAGTCGGTGCTGGGCTTTTAGCAGAGAGTACCAAAGTAAACACTCAAACGCAGAGAGAATAGCAGCCAGCCCCTTTATGTTAGTTACCGTGTGCTTTGTTCGGTGAGTTAGTACCAGGGCTGTTTGTAACTAAAGACGGTATGAGTTGCAGTGTCCCAGCCTGTAGCAGAACTCTTCCAGTTGAGGCTTACAAGAGTCTGTTTTGAAGAGAATGACCAAGGGAACATCAGGTCCTCGCTCACGGGAGAACCAGCCCCTCCTCTCAGCACTGCGATTTGAGTCTGGCTCAGTGGCAGACTCTTTGGAGCACATGGCACGGGGGCACTGGTTAGCATCACTCCAAGCTTGGGAAAATGTGTCACAGTTTGCGGCAGCAACTGTCTCTCCCAACACTTAACAACAAACAGTGGGGCAGAAGAAATTGAAAGGAAAAATCCATTTTTAAAGTCAGGATGGGTAAGGCAAGGTGTTCACCTGGCCCCTAGCAATTGTGTACGTACACACACAATGTGAGCACGCCTTACAGTGGATGTACATTCTAATCAGTGAAACTAGAGCCAAGTAATAACCAGATCAGTACCTTAATGTCAGCCCAGAATGCACTCCGCTGACATTAGCCTCGCCCAAGGACTGAGCAGCAGTGGTTAGGACCTTTTCTTAGAGGGCTAAGCACTACGTCTGTGTATTATTTATTCATTTTCTTATTCACACGCCCCTTCTCCGCTCCCCCCTCCTTCCCTTGCTTATAAGATACATAATATCATCTACAAGGAGATGAAAGGAATTAGCCATAGCCTAGATTAAAAATGACTGTGAGACAGGAAAACATGAGATGGAGAGGAAGCCATTCCAGGGCTTGTGTAACAGTGACAAATGGGTTACCCATTCCTACAGCTGCTCAAGTTGCTCTCTGGTGGAAGTGATTTGAACATCTTGGGCCCTTGCTATCACTTGCCCAACATACAACCTACAGTGGTCTGGAAAGATGACCCAGGGTCATGTTGACCTTCCCTGTGCAACAGCCCTCTTACCATTCATGAAAGTAAGGAAGAAGTTACTGGGCGAAGCCATAGCATCCCTCCCCTCCTTTCACTCAGACCAACCCAGTCTGGGTGCTGGTGGCCCTGGTGACTATGATAGGAGTTTGTGGGGGACTTGCTCAGACATAGGAGCTGCAGGCATTTGAATGAAGTTCTTACTGCCCCCAGCAGAGGAGCGAACCGAGTAGCACAAAGGGCCGGCATGCCTCTCTGCCCCACTGTGGCTACACAAGTGTCAGAGGTAGTCAAGAGAGCTACAGCAAAGACCCAATCCATATCTTCAAAACAGAATAATTGTCCTGCTAGCAAAAAGAGAAATGTGTGGTCTCTCCCAAACTGGAAGACCACTCGAGTCGAACACACAGAAGAAGCCTTTCTTTGCACACAGCCAAGAGCTTACCTTGGAGATAAAACACACACCTGCTTTACCAACGGTCACCCTGGCAAAAAGGCAGAACTTTAGAGCTGAGGTGAAACTAGAAAAACAGTAGGGAAAGAGTGTATATCACAGTCATTTGCAAGGCTTTGTGGTCACAGGGAAGGAAGGCACATTTTTAAAAGTATGAAAGGCAAAGATGCTTTCAAAGCACCAGGTACAGAGAGATGGCTGGTTCAGCCAGCACGTCTCACCTAACGGTTAACTCCTGCTGGAAATGGGGCTGCTTTTAAACTGTGTCATTCTGCGGATTTGTGTGATGAAATAATGCAGAAAGGTGGCGGGCCTATTTTCATATTCCTAGATGGTGGCAGACTCCAGAAGCATGGAAGAGAACGCTCAGAGTGAACCGTCATGAAGACTACCCATGTCACCAGCTAACATCACTCTTCTACCTTCGGAAGAGGGGCAAGATTGGCTCAGCCTGCAGCTGGGGAGGTAGGACGGTAGCAGACAGTTTGCCAGGCATGGAAGAAGCAGAATTCTATTAAAGTGTCCCTCTGGGCCGGAGAGCGTCAACATGTCAATAACCACAACCGACCCTTAATGATATATTGTTGTGTCTGCTTTAATGTGTTGTGCTGAGGAGAGTTCAAATCACAGCATAACAGAAACCATCTAAACAAATTAATCCACTTGCAGTCAGCATATCATTCAGTTATGGAAACACACAGTTGAAAAAAAAAAAAAGAATCACGTTTTTAATTCCCCATGAGTGACTGAACTGACAGGGAGTGGTAAAATCAGCACTGAAGGAACATGGAAACAGTCAAGCCTAATGAACCTACTGAAAGAGAATTGTCTTCAACTTGAGGAAGTGTTCTCACCTGCCTCCCCACCTCCCCAAACCTACGCTAGCAGCACACACGTGCAAAAATACAATAGGACACAACTACTGCAATTGTTACTATCATTTTCTTTTGCCCTGAGGTGCAGAGCACCTGACAGCTACATGCTGAGTCATGCTAACAAAACTAAGCCTTTCACTTTCTTTAATAGTAAAATTACCATTACTGAATCATTATCATAAAAAGTGCATTCAAGTACATTACCACTTATTTTAAATAAACACCAATTTTGAAAACAATCAACTTTGAAAACCTGCATAAGTTGTTTTTTTTTTTTTTTAATTCCCTGATTACATTTCTATTTATTCACTGTGGTAGTCTGAAACATTGTATTTTTAGAAACTGCCACTTAATTTCCTCTAGGGAAAAAAACAAAACAAAACAAAAAGACCCCTGTAATATAGAACGACAGTGAAGCAAGAAAAAAAATGTGTGCTTGTCGATAAAAAAATGTGTGCTTGTCACTTGTCGTCACTGTGCGTAAGGACTGGAGTAAAATACGGTACTTGTGCCACAAGAGTGTATGGGGAAAACACAGTTAACGCATGGGACAGAAAATCTGGTTTACTAAAGGTGTTCCTTTGAAATTCAAGGTTTGGACTTGTCTTTCAGTCCTCTATTCAGCACCTGGATCATTCATTACTCCTGAAGCCCTTGGCAAGCCTTGGACACCGGCATGTTTTTCCCAAAGCGACAGCTCAGAGACCTGGAAGCTTGGCGCCACCTCTGCTGCTCTACACTGTGGGTGGTCTCAGTGCATCCTACAAAATGGGGTGCTGCCGGACCCACTCCCTGCCTGTTTCAGTTTCCCCATCAAAAGACCAGACCCAAACAAGAGGCTGCTTTGGGAACTTTTCCTTAGATGGAGTCTTGCAATGTGACCTAAACTGATGTCCAGGCTCCAGTAATCCTCCTGCCTCACTCTCCCTGGTCCTGGGGCTGCACATAGAAGGCTTGGGTTAAAGGGTGCCTCTTAGGCCATTTTTTAAGTTCTGTGGCCCCCATTTGCCTCTTAAGGTCATTTTTAAGTTTGGTGGCCTCCATTTATCCAATTGTTGGCAACCCACCTTGAATTTCAGCATGACTAACTAAATTTGAAGAACAGTCTGCACTTTCCCTACCAAGACAACATCTGAGTTTCCTGCTACCTTCCCGAGGAAGTCAAACTTCATATAGAAACCAGAAAGAACCCTCACCCCTACAAAGATCAAAAACTACCCCAGGAGACGCATTTTGCTAAACGGCTTACTTATGTTTATAATTACTACTTACAAAGTGACACCAGCAAAGAAGTGTGTGGCCAGAGCAAAGGAATGTCCAACAGGCCTCATTGACAGTGCACCCAAATGAACCACACGCTTAATTAACAGTAAGGACTCCAAACATGCCGGCCCCTGGCTTCAGATCAGCAGTGGGAACTGTCCATCTCTCCCCTTTTCCCACCGCTGTCTTCTTCCGGTTCTGGCTGCGTGTCACCTCCTTCCTCCTCACCTTCAGTCTGGTCTTTTCCAACAGGCTGGTCTTTGGTTTGGGGTTCATGTGTGGAAACAGGATCTAGAACTACAACTGGCTCAGCTGGCTTCTCACTGCCCACACCTTGTCTCCTGTATCCACCTTTACTGGGAGGCCTGAAAGAAGAGAGTTAAATCAAAAACAAAAACAAAAAACAACTAAGCAGAGAAAACATTTGACTTTCAGATTCCTGGATCCAGGAAAACAGCAACAAAAGGTCCTAAGTCTAACCAACATGCATATAGCATGTAGTCTCTGAGATGCAAGCCATTAAGAAAAAAAGCAGCAGCCATCAGAGTACATAATAGGAGCAGAAGGCCAGAAAAGAGAAGGCAGAAAAAGTCAAAGCAATTAACTACAGAAGTAGAAGGAAAAAAAAAAAAAAAAACAAAAAGCCAATTGCACCTACCTGTTGAACCACATTCTCCGATCAGGAAATACACAGCCCCTGGCTCACTGTGCATTCCCAAACACTACCCAAACCAGCCCTGTCCAACTGCCCTTGCTACAAGAACCAAACCAGCCCCCCCCACTTCCTCTTGTCCCCAGTACAGCTGTTTGCCGCTTAGCTGTGAAGAGGCTGCATGGAGAGGGGTTGGGGATCACCCTGGCTCAGTGATAGGCAGATGAGAGTGGCAGCCAGCTGTGCCCACCAGAGCCATTACCACCCAGGAGGGAGTCCTGACCTCAGGAGGTAGGTGGAGAAAAGGGCTGATGGGGAGAGCTCCAAGAGAAAGCTCCAACACCCAGAGAGGCCAGAAACTTCTCTAGTCAGGAGGAGGTGGTTCTTGAGAAGCTTCTTACAGTTTCCCTTTCCCCTCAGAAGCTGTCTCCCTTCTGATGTCAGAAGCTATTGTTTTTACGCCAGGCAGGTGACTGTTGCCTTGTGGGAACAGAGGTGTCTCTCAAACATAGTTTCTTGCCACGTGTCCAGCTGTGGGTCCCTGAGTCCTCTCAGAAGTCACGGTCAGCACCCCTAACTTGGGCAGGTTTGGGGCTGCAGAGCTTGCCTAGAGGAAACACGGAAGCTCTAACACTCTCAATCGGTCCTCTGGGCCGATTCCAGGACAAGACTTTTCCATTCCAGAGGACCATGAGGAGCCGGGACCTGCAGGCCCACCTGATGTGTGGGATGCCTTAGTGTCTGCTCTCTGCTCTGCCTGCTGGCCGCTTTCCACTACCCCCACCTCTCGCAGGTCAGATCTCAGTTATGCTCACATGTAGTGCTTCTCCCTCTGGGGACTCACCACAGTTAACTAGAAGCTTCTTGTCGGTCTCTCTGATAACATACGGGGCAGGGACTGCTTAGCTTTGTCTAAGATTCTATCCCCAACACCTACTGCAAATCATGTGTGGAGTAAACAAATAACAGCAAGCTAGTGGAGACACAGAAAACTTGGGTGGAGGTGCCCTCTACACACAGGAACAGAACAAGTCATCTCTTACGGGAAGGTGGCCTGCACGACCTGCTCACAAGGTGCAGAAGCCTGAACCCCAAAGACCACACCTATCACTACAAGCGCCATCCAAATGCTTGAGAGCCATACTCCGGCTGTCAGGGCCACATTGAAGACAGGGCTTGGCTGTGTCTTCCTTGGGGGTAGAGGAAGGAAGGAGACCCTCAGGGATGGAGAGAGCAGAGACCATGATGGCCTTGTCCTCCCGACTTAGCCAATGAAACATTTCTCGAAACACCCATTACTACATCTTAGAGATGGGTTGGGGCGCTGTTGCCTTGATAGTATCTGTTCAGGCTTTCTCTGGTCCAGGCAACCTTTTTACAGTTCTCATTATCATAAAAAAGCAGAGACACTGATAAAAGTGGTTACAGGAATTAGTTCCTGGGCAACAAAGAGCACTATCAGATAGTCTGTGGGAGTCTGCCACCTCTGTGCATGAGGTTCAGCTGAAAGGCAAGACAGCTGGCAGGGACTGAGGACAAACTAGAAACGCATCTCTCTCTGACAAAGGCCAGTCACCAGCCCTGCAGGACAAGCTGAGCCCTATCACTTGGTACTGCATCAGAGTTGGGAGGTGGGCAAGCTGGGGAAGCTGGGAGGAGAACGGAGCCACAGGCCAGACACTGCCACATGCCAGTCAGCTGAGTTAGCATGTCATGCCCCACATGAGTTAACCCAGAGCCTGCTGTACATGAACCTTCTCGGGCTTAAAAAAAATGATTTTAGAAGATTACTGTCTCACTTCTGCCTTGCATAGCTCATGTAGATTTCTCTCATGGCCAACCAGAGGGATTCCATGGGGGGTAAAGCCATATGAAGCCTGCAGGTCAACTCCAGTTAGCTTTACCAGCTTGTGAGCCCCCTGCTGTCAGCCAGCCAGTCTGCTAGAAGCATGCAAAGGTGTGTAATCTCATTCTGCCATCTGGGGGGAGCGACTACCATCACTCCATACCAACCTTCGTTGCTGCCGTGAACTACCGTGGGTGTTTCCGTGCCCCTGTTATCTGCAGGTGAAGGACGGTTAGCAACTCCTAGCAAAAGCTGTCTTCATCAGCTGGGGATTAGACATTTCCAGGAACTGCTCTCAGCATCCTGTGGCAGCAACACACAGGCTGATTGAGCTGAAGACCTAGAAACCTTGGGCTGTTGGGTTAAAACTGTTTCTGGAATAGTCTCTGTCACTTTACCTGTCCTCAAGCAAGCCAGCCTGAGAACTCCCATGGTTGACTCTCACTCAGCTAGGCACAGTGGTACTTCCTGGGAACCCCAGGGCAGGAAACAAAGGGATGACAGGGGTCATCCATCTAAACTGCCCTTTTCTAGATGGAGATGGTGCTGGGAAGAGAGAGAGCGAGCCTGGACTAAGAGCATGCTGTTCGTGAGTGGCAGAGCCAGTGTGAGGGTCTGAGCTGCCTCCTTCCTGCCTCCTCTCTTAGTACTGAGCTATTTTCCAAATATAACATTGGTGCCACGGGCTAATTGTGGACATTTTTACTAGTTTACTTCCATTGCTTCCACTAGCAACTTTCAGATCTGCAAGGGCAAAGTCCAGCCCTCAAGCTGCAGTTTTATCCTTCCTGGCTTGATGTCACTAGGTCTGTCCTCGGCTCCCTTGTGGAGCTGCCCAAAGCTCCTTGCAGAATGAGAAGCCTTCCTCCCCGGGCAGGCGGGCAGGTGGGCAGGCGGACAGGCGGGCAGGCGGGCAGGCGGGGGGCATTCTCTCTCTATCCCCATG